AAAAAAAAAAAATAAAAGGAAGACTACACACACATACATATGTAAACTGTTTTCTCACCCATACATTGTTGTCTTTCAGTTTAAGTACTGATTTGTAGTAGGCAACTAACTGTCTTATTATTTACTGTTTGCTGATTTTGTACGTACACTTGGATTGACCACAGTAGGAAGCAGAATATATCTTATTATGGCTGATTTAAGAGGAATTCATGTCCTTTGGTGTTACATTGAAACCTGGGGAATCTGAAAGTATTTCATTTTATTAAAATAATATTTAGAATGTGAATTAACACTAAACAATTCAAGAAAATACATCACTCATTAATGTGCTAGAGCTCTAGAAGTAAAAGACTTACTAGGATATGTTCAATGGAAAAGTAATTTTCCCTATTTTATTTAAAATTTGGCTTTGCCTACAGTAATTTATTACAACTTACAGTATTCTGATGTTATACACAAAGCACTGATGTGTTATTCTATACAAAAACGCTTGCTTTTGCTTGTTACTGTGCTTTCTCTAATGCATCTTTTGATATGAATGTTAAAATTTTATCTAGGTGATTTCAAGAATAGATAGGGAGCAGAGTACTATATAACCAAGCCAGAGTGCAGAATAACAGATAATGAGTTCCTATTTGTTATTTTATTCAGAGTTTTATGATACTTTTAGAAAAAATTTTTAAATTATTGTTACTGCCAATTGTTTTAAACAAAAGCATGAACCTAAGTGGTTTTGAACAATTCGGTTCATGAACAACTTTGTAACTACTAGTGATTTTCTCTGCAAAAACTACTAGTGATTTTTATCTGCAAAATAACTATTTCATTCCTTATGGGGGTTTTTTTTGTTGTTGTTTGTTGGTTGGTTGGTTGGTTTTAGTGCCCGTCCTGGTTCTTGAACTCATGGCCTGGGCTCTGTCACTGAGATTAAGCCACACCTCCACTTGCACCTTTTTTTGGTGGTTAACTAAAGATAAAAGTCTCATGGACTTTTCTGACTGGGCTGGCTTCAAACCATGATCTTCAAGATTTCATCCTCCTGAATAGCTAGGATTATAGACATGAGTCACCAGTGCCTGGCTCAGATGTTTTTTAGTTAGTTGATTTAACTTTCTTAAACATTGGCCTAATCATTAGTAGTTATGAGAAATTTGTTGGTACTACTTGATTTAATGATCCTTTCTTTTTGTCACTCATGGGGCTTGAACGCTGGGCCTGGGTACTGTCCCTCAGGGCCTCAGCTCTTCAGCTCAAGGCAAGCGCACTACCACTTAAGCCACAGCGCCACTTCTGGTTTTCTGGTGGTTAATTGGAGATAAGAGTCTCATAGGCTTTCCTCCCCAGGCTGGCTTTGAACCTCGATCCTCAGATCTCAGCCTCCTGAGTAACTAGGATGACAGGCATGAGCCACCGGTGCCCAGTTGTAATGATACTCTTACAAGAGACAAAATTTTTGTAAAGGGATTTTGAAATGAAAATTATTATGTGGTACAATAGATGGTATGCAATAGAATCTTAATGTTATAGAGTTGTTATAAAATATGTTTAATGTCTACTAGAAAGTTGAGTAGCCTGTTGGATTAACAAAACTTCCTTTCATCTCTTGTTTTTATAACATCATGATTATGTTGAAGTCATTGTACTTTTTAGCCAATTATGAGATAGCCATATTATAACAGTTGTATATTTTGGATGGGACGTGATGGTTAATGTTTCTATTCATTATTCCTTTATGTGCTCGAGAATGAAATTTTATCCTTTCTCTATCTGGCTTTATTTCCTAAACATACCTTAAAATCTTGATGTATCTTTAGATATTTTCTTTTCATATATAGTATAGCTTACTGTTATATACATTAAAAAAATAAAATGTCTTCCCTGCTTATATTTATCTGGAAATTAATGACAGATGAGGAGATAGACGATCTGAGCCATTCCCAAACAGAGTGTATCTGACAGCTTCTATCTTTTTTTTTTTTTTTTTTGGGTCTGGTCGTGGGGCCTGAAATCTGGGCCTGGGCGCTGTCCCTCAGCTCTTCAGCTCAAAGCGAGCACTCTACCACTTGAGCCACAGCGCCACTTCCAGCTTTTTTCTTATGTGGTGCTGAGGAGTCGAACCCAGGGCATCAGGCATGCAAGGCAAGCGCTCTACCACTGAGCCACCTTCCCAGCCAGCTTCTATCTTTGTAACTGCTCGCTTCTCTGTTTGCTTTCATTTTGTGGAAAAATCCCAGAGAATTAGCAAATCCTAGTGTCCCCTCATAAAAAGGGACATTAATCCATTTTTGATTGTTAGTGGCAACATCAGCAGAGAGAATTAAATAGAAACAGAAATTTCTAATTAGAAGTTTTTCCTAAAGGGGGTCATGCATTGTGGAAATAAGACAGTAGTATATAAAAGAAAATCTGACTTTGATTTTTAATATTGTACTCTGGTACCAGTAGCTCTGACTTTTTAAATATAATGTACCTTAGACTCAACCTTTAACAGGTTTAGTTTTGATGTCAACATTCAAAATAAGTGAGTAAAAATTTTTTATGTAGTTAAAATATATATATATATATATATATATATATATATGGGCCGGGCATCAGTGGCTCACACCTGTAATCCTAGCTATTCAGGAGGCTGAGATCCGAGGATCTCGGTTCAAAGCCAGCCCGGGCAGGAAAGACTATGAGACTCTTATCTCCAATGAACCACCAGAAAACCAGAAGTGTGTTGTGGTGTTATGGCTCAAGTGGTAGAGCGCTTGCCTTGAGCTGAAGAGCTGAGGGACAGTGCCCAGGCCCAGAGTTCATTCAAACCCCACGACCTACAAAAAAAAGAAAAGAAAAACCCATATGTAGTTAATTACGTTTGAGCTATTAAGTTTTCTCAACCCCTTTCCATCCACTCTTACATATACTTTTCTATGGTATATGAAATTTAAGAACAGTAATTCAGTTCCTTATTCTTTTTTAGTAAATTTTGTCAAAAATAAAACATTAAAAAGTATCCCCAGTGTTCTGCATGTTGTATCTCATCTTTTACTCTTTGTCATGTGGTTATTCCCTCTTGATGAAGTCATTAGAGGACAACAGTGAAACCATCAAAAATTCTATGATGGAGGAGCCAAACATCAATAAGGTACCACTATCATTCAACTGAACTTGAAATTGCATTCTTAGCCAGAACAAAAAGTTACATTTTAGTTCTTCACTTGATATGTTCCCAGTAGAGTTAACAAGATTATTCCCTTAAGTTCTTCTTTTATTAAAAAAATTTTTGTATTGGAGTCATAAAAATGATTCTCTTTTGTCAAATAAAAGAATGCAGTTTCAAAGGGAGTTGAATGTGTCTTGTGCTGGCTACAGATTTTTCTGAGTAAATACAACTAAAGTTCTTAGTAAATGTGATTACACTAGCAGTTATAAAAGTATAATACATTATTCCATTTCTGCCAGTGTCATTTTAGAAGTTAGAATTTCTCCTATGATATTAATTCCTAAGAAATACAGCGTTTGGGGCTGGGAAGTTAGCTCAGTGGTAGAGTGCTTGCGTTGCATGCATGAGGCCCTGGGTTTGATTCTTAGCATCACATAGACAGAAAAAGCCAGAAGTAGCACTGTGGCTCAAGTGGTAGAGTGCTCGCCTTGAGCTGAAGAACTGAGGGACAGGCCCAGAGTTGAGGTCCCACAACCGACGAAGGAAGGGAGGCAGGGAAGGAGGGAGGGAGGGAGGAAGGGAAGGAAGGAAGAAAGGAAGGAAGGAGCATTTGTTTTGCTGGGAGGAGAACTATCTAGCATAATGCCTACACATGTATGTATACAGAGTGCTTGAGAACTAAAACAAGAAGGGTAAGAATTAGTATAATCATGAAAAATTCTTAGATTCTTAGACTTTAGGTACATTGAATATGACTGATATTTAACTAATTTTTCAATCCACAGGCTGAGTGATCTTTAAGCAAGAAATTGCTTAAAAGTTTTTCTTTTTTAATTTTTTAAGTGGTTGATAATATTTTTTATGAGTGTACTAATGCCACTTCTTATTCTTTTTTTTGGGGGGGGGCATTCGGTCGTGGGGCCTGAACTGTGGGCCTGGGCACTGTCCCTCAGCTCTTCAGCTCAAGGCTAGCACTCTACCGCTTGAGCCACAGCACCACTTCCGGCTTTTTTCTTTTTGCTTATGTGGTGCTGAGGAATTGAACCCAGGGCCTCAGGCATGCAAGGCAAGCGCTCTACCACTGAGCCACCATCCCAGCTCCTACTTCTTATTCTTTCCTAAAGGAATCTTTTGGTAAAATAGAAGAAATAATTCTGTGCAATTAGTAAAAAAAAAAGACTGACTTGATATCAAGTATACATTATATTTGATAAAATAAATACATGTGGTCTATACTTTGAAATTTCCTAATGGTTTTTGGTTTTGAGAAAATATCCACATTTTTAATTCAAATATTAATATAAACATTTCTTTGTTTGGATTTGATCACTAATTACTTTCTATAAACTATTAGTCATTCTTGTCCCAAAGACTTTGCTTTTAATGCTGCTTCTGCAGTGTAAATAATTACAGTGTTGTGTTTTTTATTTGTTGTGTGTTTGTTTTATTGTCAGTTGTGGGGCTTGAACTCAGAGCCTGGGTGCTGTCCCTGAACTTTTTTTTTTTTTTTTTGGGTCCGGCGTGGGGCCTGAACTTTGGGCCTGGGCACTGTCCCTCAGCTCTTCAGCTCAAGGCTAGTGCTCTACCACTTGAGCCACAGCGCCACTTCCAGCTTTTTTCTTTTTGCTTATTTGGTGCTGGGAATCGAACCCAGGGCCTCAGGCATGCAAGGCAAGCGCTCTACCACTGAGCCACCTTCCCAGCCCCTGTCCCTGAACTTTTTCAGGGATGCACAGCGCCACTTCTCATTTTCTGGTGGTTAATTGGAGGTAAGAGTTTCATGGACTTTACTGCCAGGATAGCTTTGAACCACAGTCCTCAGATCTCAGCTTCCTAAGTAGCTAGGATTACAGGCCTGAGCCACTGGTGCCCAGCAACATTTATTTTTAAAATCATGTCCATGCTACATTAAAATGTAGTCATTCTATTTGTCACAGTGTTATTAGGGAAGGGATTTTGTTTAATGTTACCATTTTGGTTCAAACAATCACACTTGTTTATTTACAGTTTCTTAATAAAGTTACCTAGAGAATATATTCTAAAGAACTAGTTCACTGTTTGTAATCAGTGTAATTAGATCAACATAGAAAGTAGGGAAGGAGCCCATGAAATTTCTGCCTGTACCCTCAAAACCAGGAAAATAGAGAAAACTGGTCTGCCACTTACCCTAACAGCTACCCTCATTTACTGTGCTTTATTCTTCATCTTCACACACTGTGCCATATTTCCCCAGGGTTGCTTTTAAGCCTTTCACAACAATCCAAATAATTCTAGCCTTTGTTCATGCTTTGCAGAAGTTGATGCGGACAAATAATAGATTTTCTAATGTGTATTTAATCAACTAAAGAGGCTGTCTTAGCTTCTAGTCTGTAATATTTCTAAGACTATATGAAATGTGTACAAAAAACTCACTGTAGAGCCGAAGTGATGTGTGTGTGATGATAGATTGATTTAAATATTATTTGTGGCAGCTGCCCTAGTCTGTGTTCCGAATATCACTATGGCTTGGGTTTTATTGATTTTCCCCTGTCCTGTTTCAACATTTGCTGCGGGATCATTTGAATTAGAATACTTTGCCTGGATTAGTGGCCGAATTGTGGATCCTGGGGACAGGTTGTCTTCCAAAATATCTAAACATATTCTTCCCAGTGCAACTGTTTTATGATGATGTATTTATGAAGTGAACCTTAGTGCTGTTACTGACGCCACTTCAGGAAGAGTGCCTACGTGTGAAGTCTGTCCCTTGAAGGCAGACTCCCGAGGCCTGCAGTGAACAGAATGGGTTCTGCTTTGATGCCAGGAATTAATTCCGTCAAATACTTCCTGATCTTCCCTGGCAATCAGTCTTAAATTTTGGTCTCCTTTCTCAAGCAGCTTAGACTCTTAATGATCAAACGTCCTCAGCCCCTTGCTCTGTGCTGACTGTGTTGTACTTTCCGTGAGTATCTCCACATCTGTTTAAACACACCTCTTTATGTCTCTCTAAGCAGTTAAACACGAAGAAAGCACAGATCTCAAGTTAACCTTCTTTTTCATAAATTATTTTATGGTGAATTTTATTTTTCAATCTCTTTCCCACTCCTTTCAAGCTCATCACATTTTGCTGTCAAAATAAACATAGTCAACACAGATGTCACTTACTACTCTCACCACCAAATCTGGCTTCTGGCAGCTGTTCTGCCCAGTGGAGGAGCTGCCATTCTGATCCAGATCTTCCTTTCACTCGTGCACTGTCCCTGTCATTTCTTTCCTACCCTGGGTCTTTGCTCCAGTTCTTATCCCCCCCTCTACCCACCACTCCTGCTCATATTTTTTTTTTTTTTTTTGCAGGGTAAAGGGACAGTCCTAGGGTTTGAACTCAGGGTCTGGGAGCTGTCCCTGAGCTCTTTGGCTTAAGATCAGTGGCTCTGCCACTTGAGCTACAGTTCTACTTCCAGTTTTTTGCTGGTTAGTTGTAGATAAGCATCTCATGGACTTTCCTGCCCAAGCTGGCTTCGAATCACGATCCTCAGATCTCAGCCTCCTGAGTAGCTAGTATTGTAAGTGTGAGCCACTGGCACCTGGGCTGCTTCAAAAATTTTTACCTTTCTTAAGATTAGTAATAGTAGTGGTAGGAGTATTGGCAGGAGCAAATACATTTTACGAAATATACCTTAACAACACGTATATTTTCTACTCTTCTGTGGAGAGAAACATATTCGTTGACTTGTCTTTTAAGTCACACAAGATTTAAAAATTAATGTTTCAGGCACCCTGGAGAAGACCCCGATGTCGTGTCCTCTCTCAGTGGGTCTTGTCTCTAGTCCACTCCACTGAAGCAGTCCTTGTCAAACCCAGTAGTGAGTTCTGAGCTCTGAGTTAGCTTTTCAGTCTTGTGTGAATTGATTGGCCCCTCATATTTTCTTACAACTGTTCTCTTTCTGTAACATCAAACTCTTTATTTCTGATGTCAGTCAATTGCTGGGTTGCCACATATTTATCTGTCCTTAAAAATATTGGTGTCCAGAGGTTGTTTCTCTAACATTTTTCTTCCCTGCCCTTACTTTCTCTTTGGTTTGTCTTATGGCTTAAATATCATCTGTATAATGGTAACTGAATTCTGTTGAGTCCCAGCTCATGTGTTGCACTCCAGACATTCCCTGATCCCAACCTAAAACCACTCTTGCTTCACTTTTGCCTATTTCTGTAAATAGTACTTCACTTACCATTTATCTGGCCTAAAAGCTAGTATTAGTCACACTCAGATTACAGTTCATTAGCAGAAAGTGTCCTGGTTCCATCCACTATCAGTATCGCCACCACCTCTTACTTCAGCTTGCCTGCTTTTCTGGCAGCCATTTTCACATCCTCTTTGTTTTTTTCTTTTGTTAGTTTTGTTTGAAGAGGTTGTTTGGGGCTTGTTTTTTCTCCTTTTTTTGTCAGTCATGAACTCTGGGCCTGGGCCCCGTCCCTCAGCTCTTCAGCGTAAGGCTAGTGCTCTACCACGTGAGCCATAGTGCCACTTCTGGTTTTCTGGTAGTTATTTGGAGATAAGATGTTGCTGCCCAGGCTGGCAGTCCTCAGATCTCAGCCTTCTGAGCAGCTAGGATTACAGGCGTGAGCCACCAGTGCCCAGTGGTTTTTGGCTTTTTGACACAAGGTTTTGTTTTATAGCTCATTATTTAGCCTACCTTACCTTACCTTCACTGCACTCTGGGTACTTCTGCCTCAGCTTTCTGATGTCAGGATCATAGATGTGTACTACTACATCTATCCACCTTTTATATTTTAGCTCACAACAGTCAGAATTTTCAAAATTGCCTCCATGGTTTCTCAGCCTAGAGTAATATTGAACTCTTTCTGCTTATGTGGTGCTGGGGAATTGAACCCAGGGCCTCGTGCATGCAAGGCAAGTGCTCTACCACTGAGCTACCTTCCCAGCAGTAATATTGAACTCTTGATTATGGCTTTTATGCTATAGTGAGCTGAAGCCTGTGTGTGAACTGAACCCTGCCTGTTTATGCAGTCCTCTTATAGCATATTTTCATTCTCAAGTTCAGTGAAACAAAAACTATTGAGAGGCTAACCACTCTTTCTTTGGAATTTATTTGCCTTACTACTATGGAATTCTAACTGTTTATCATAGGATTCAGATAAAATCCGTTCTTTGAGCTAGTGATCGGAATTAAGTCATAAAGTGTTTACCTAGTTAGGATGAAGGGGAAACCAGGTCACTTCAGTTGATTCTCATGCAGGTCATCTTGATACCACACCATCAAGAAATGTTGTTTTTGACGAGAGGACAAGAATATATTCCTGCATTCATAAAGATTTTTGAAGTTCATGGCTATATGGGCTTACTTCATATACATACAAAGTCTGAAAAACTCCCCACATGAAACTGACATCTTTCCTCCAACCATCACCAGCAAATAATATATCTCTGTTGCATGGAAATCTCTCTTTCCCTTTCTTCAAAACTTTGTAGTGAACACAGTGTACCTTGGACACCTAGTAAATGGGTGCATAAAGTGGGATATTGTTAAAAAAATTATGGAGTTTGGTGCTGGGAAGGTTGCTTAGTGGTAGAGCGCTTGCCTTGCATGCCTGAGGCCCTGAGTTCCATTCCTCAGCACCACATAAGCAAAAAGAAAAAAGCCGGAAGTGGTGCTGTGGCTCAGTGGTAGAGCGCTCGCCTTGAGCTGAAGAGCTGAGGGACAGCGCCCAGGCCCAGAGTTCAGGCCCCACGACCGACAAAAAAAAAAAATGATGGAGTGTGACTTACACATTCTTATTGCATGATGAGCCTCTTTATGGACTAGAGTTAAAACTGTCCTTAAAGACAATTGACTCTCTTGGAATTGGAGGCATGATTCCTGTAGCAGACCACCAGTGGAGATGAGCAGAAAGGCCAAGCAGAAGCGTGAGGCTATAAGTTCATTTAGTAGCAGCACCAAATATATAAATAAGTAAGTAAATAGTGACCTGTTTACATCCAGTGGCTGATTATTGTTTGTTTTTGTTACTGCATAAGCCTCTTTTTCAACTCTACAACAGAAGCTACCTTAATTGCTATTTTTAAAAAAAATTGCTAATTCTGGTGAGTTCTGTGTTCATGGCAGGCATTAATGTTGGTTTTCTTTAAGTTTTACAGGAAGCAAATTTGTATGACTTTCAGATTAATAATTTCTACATTTCATAATGAACTATGAAGCATAGTAATTCATTTTAATAGGTTGAAGGGTTAAGGAAGATGGTAAAAAAAAGTAATATTCTACATTGAGCAATGTGTCTAGTTCTTGATAATTCCTTCCTCTTTGCAGTATATTTTAGTACTTTTGTTCAGAGATGTATGTACCTTCTCTAGGAAGGGCAGAATGTCAGATGTTTGTTCCTCATGTAAACTACATAGAATAATGTTTTACTTTGTTTCTACAAAGAGCACTGCCTTGGCTAAATTTCTATGCATGATTGTCATAAATATATGACATGAATTGGTCAAATTCTACCTGTTTTTATATGGCCTGTGAGTGAAGAATAGCTTTTACACCTGTAATTCTAGCAGCTGGAAAGGATCATGGTTCAAGGCCAGCAAAAAGTTTTTTGTTTTTTTGGTTGGTCGTGGGGCCTGAACTTTGGGCGTGGGCACTGTCCCTCAGCTCTTCAGCTCAAGGCTAGCGCCATTTCCAGCTTTTTCTGCTTATGTGGTGCTGAGGAATCGAACCCAGGGCCTCATGCATGCAAGGCAAGCGCTCTACCACAGAGCCACCTTCCCAGCCCAACAAAAATTTCTTAACCCCATCTCAACAGAAACAGCTGGGCTATAGTGTTAAATGTCTGTTATGCAGGAAGCATAAATAGGAAAATTGTGGTCCAGAGTGGCATAAGCAGAAAGTGAAACCCTGTCTCAAAAATAGCCAAAGCATCCAGGTACCAGTGGTTCATGCCTGTAATCCTCACTACTCAGGAAGCTGAAATCTGAGGATTATTGTTTGAAGCTAGCCCAGGCAGGAAAGTCCATGAGACTTGTATCTCCAGTTAACCAGCAAAAAGCTAGAGGTCAAGCTGTGGTTGAAGTGGCAGCATTGAGCATAAAAGCTCAGGGACAGAGCTAAGGCCCCCGGATTGGCACATACATACACAAAAAATAACCAAAGCAAAATAGACGATAAAAGTCTGACTAGCAGGCAAAATGCCATGAGTTCAAACCTTAGTGCCACCCTCTCCAAAACTGCACTACATGGAAACCTGGTAAATAAACCTAACTTCAATAATGAAAGTGCTTAGATCTTTAAAATTAATTTAGTGTTGCTTGGAGGGTAAATAGTGAGTGAAGTTATAAATTATTTCAACTATCTTTTGATACATGAAAAAGCCAAGTTCAGAAATTTACATTTCCCTTGTGAAATATATTCTGTACCTTTAGGATAGAAATAGCTTTTTAATAGTAATTTTAAGTAACTTATGAAAGTGCTCACTGATTGGTGACAACTGTTATTTGTCCTATTACTAAAAGCATTATTTTTCAGACTTTATCTTTTTCCATTTAGATAGAAGCAGACTTGGGATATCCTGGAGGTAAAGCAAGGATTATCCATAAGGAATCTGATATCATTACTGCCTTTGCTGTTAATAAAGTAAGTACTTTTCTTTGATTATTAATAACTCATGGGTGAAGAATATCTTGTTTTACCAGTTTATCCTGGGTCAGTATTTCTCTTTCCCAAAGTGGCTTCCCACTGTTTAAATTACCACCTGCATAAGATTTTTTCTATTTTATGAGTGATTAGACCATAATGTGTTTTTATTATTATGTAATTTGGGGAATTCAGCCTGTACAATGAACTCAGAGGTTTTTTGTATGCCCTATTCAAGTACATTGGGTATGATTCCTAATATCTGATAAAAACTTAAGTTTATGTGTGACTCAGGAATTCTCCCTCATTGACTTAGACCTTGAGTAGCTACATAATGTGTTAGGTTTTTTTTTTTTTTGAATTTTTTTGTACTCTTATGTTAACAGCCTCCTTAGAGATACATCTAAGCTCTAAGAAAAGAGGGTTGCCTTAGGTTTAATAGTCTTAAGTTAAAATTTCTGCTAATAATTTCCTGCTTCTATCTGCCTTAATCTCTTTACTGCATAATTTCTAGTGACATCTAATTATTTTTTTGTTTACATTTCTTTTTTTTTTTTCCCGGTCCTGGGGCTTGAACTCTGGGCCTGGGCGCTGTCCCTCAGCTCTTTAGCTTAAGGCCAGCACCTTACCACTTGAGCCACAGCACCACTTCCGTTTTGTTTACATTTCTTTCTATAACACAAAATATAGAAGTTATGGTTTCTTGTGTGTTTCTAATGGACATTTTAAAGAAGGGATGTATATATCCATTTGTGTGTGTCCATGTGTATATGTTTGTATACATACGTTTCTAATTAACATTGTTTCATGGTTTGCTTTGTTTTCTTGAGACAGTATCTTGTGCGTAGGCTGGTCTCAAATTCCTGAACTAAAATGTTCTGCTACTCTAACCTACTAAGTAGCCGTGACCCCGGGCATGTCACCACACCCTGTAGAAGTTTTACAGTATTATTCAGGTGTATATCTTATGACATCTTGAATTCACTTTTGTATGTTATGCCTGTATTCTCTTGATATCTTCCAGACAGTTCTTTTATCATTCTTCCTCAGATCTCCCTGTATTCTTCATCTCACTTCCCTCATAGACATGCTTGACCAATGATGAGCTCTGCTTAAAGCAAGCAGATCTGGAGTTAGCCCCAAATTGTCATATCTGTGTAACATTCTGCAGTACTTCCTTTCCTCTGAAGAAAATACCATTTTAAATATTTTGTAAAACTACCTTTTTTCTTTGTGGGAAGGATCTTACAAAAGTAACTATAAATGAATAATCCACATATATAAAATCTGCTTTTTACTGGTATACTTAATTATTTCTCAGATTTGATGTTTTTATATCCTTGTTAAGTTTATAGATAGGAATTTATAATGCCTTTTTTCTTTAAAAATATTTAAAATTTGAAAATTTCTTTTAAAATACCATTGAAAGGGGCTGAGGAGGTAACTCAATGGTAAGAGTGCTTACCTTACATGCATGAGGCCCTGGGTTCGATTCCTCAGCACCACATAAGCAGGAAAAAAAAGCCAAAAGTGGTGCTGTGGCGCAAGTGGTAGAGCGCTCGCTTTGAGCTGAAGAGCTGAGGGACAGCGCCCAGGCCGAGTTCAAGCCCCACAACCAGCAGGAAAAAAAAATACCATTGAGGTTGAACTTTTTCCCATTTGTATAGTTGGGAACTATCTGTATCAAGAATTGTGAAAGATCTAAAATTTACATTCAAGCTAACAGTTAATTTTCAAAGCTCAATGGATACTGTTTGAAAACACAAGAATCCTAGACTACCAAGGCAATGTATTTATTACTAACAACAAGAACAGTAATGGATACTGTTTGAAAACACAAGACTCCTAGACCACCAAGGCAGTGTATTACTAACAGCAAGAGCAGCAGCCAGAACATCAGTATTTTCACACCAGCTTCCAGAGAGACAGCGAAGGCTCAGTCGTATGACCTGCAGAACGTTATGGTGCAGAAAGGGATCCCTGAGGTTGGGAACCATTTCTCTTCTAATGGACAGTAAGCATGCATGTTCTTGGCTCCAGTGACTAGCTACACAGACATCCTTGGAGCAAAGTATAGTCAGTGGCTCACAAGACATACCTATTGGAGACACCCTTAGAGAATTGCCTCCTTTCTTATTAATTTATATTACCATTTTTTTTAATCACTTAACCAAACAAGACTACATTTGTGTCTTCTTAATAAACAACCCGACCAGTAAACCAACTGGAGAGCTAATTATAGCACTTTAAATAATAGTAATAGGGGCTGGGAAGGTGGCTCAGTGGTAGAGCGCTTGCCTTGCATGCATGAGGCCCTGGGTTCGATTCCTCAGCACCACATAAGCCAAAAGAAAAAAGCCGGAAGTGGCGCTGTGGCTCAAGTGGTAGAGCGCTAGCCTTGAGCTGAAGAGCTGAGGGACAGTGCCCAGCCCAGAGTTCAGGCCCCACGACCAGACCCCCAAAAAATAAATAATAGTAATATTCTACGTTTTTCTTCACTGTCAATATCTTTTCAGTTTGAAATGTATATTTTTTAAAATTAAAAAAAATTTTGTCAGTTGTGGGGCTTGAACTCTGGGCCTGGGCACTGTCCTTCAGCGTTTCAGCTCAAGGTGAGCCACAGCATGCACTACGTCCAGTTTTTGGGTGGTTAATGGGAGGTAAGTGTCTCACAGACTTTCCTGCCCAGGCTGGCTTTGAACCTCGATCCTCAAATCTCACCCTCATGAGTAGCTAGGATTTATAGGCGTGAGCCACCAGCACCCAGCTTGAAATATGTATTTTTAATGTCAATTAGTCACTGCTTCTAAACTGCATCTTCAGGTCAAGATGTATATTTTTAATTCCATCTATACTTAAAATTTTATGTCATTTAATCTGACCAGTTTTTCATTTATTCTGGTGTGTTTCTCTCACTAGTTTGAGTTTATTATCTCCCTCTCATTCCTCTGCTTTTCTGGCTTCTGGCTTCCTCAGTATCTTGCTCTGCATTTTTTGTTGTTTTGTTTTGAGAGATGGTCTGACTGGCCTCAGACCCCTGGACTCAAGTGATCGTTCTGCATCAGCCTCCCCCAGGGACCTAGTACTGCAAATGTGAGCTATTGTATCTGGTACAAATCTTGAAGAAATCATAGGATTTTATTAGATTGAAAAGGTAGTGTGATATTAAATAGTATATGCATTGTTGTTAATAGCTTCCTGTTAGTTGTTCTACAATTTCTAGAGCATAAAAATATCTCTATTTGTTCTGTAATTTCTAGAGCATAAAAATATCTCAAAAATATCAAATTATCAATTTAATTGGTAAAGTTAATTTAAAATATTAATTTGTAAGTGCAATATGTTTTGTACCTTAGCTCTCTCGAGATTATTTGCAGAATATATCCATTGTGGTTTTCCTTGTTAAAAATCTGTCTCATGCTTTATTTTTCAGGCAAATAGAAATTGCATAGCTATCGCCTCTAGCCATGATGTTCAAGAACTGGATGTTTCTGGAATTCTGGCTACACAGATATATACTTGGGTAGATGATGATGTAGAAATGGAACCCAAAGGGTACTTTTACTTTGTTTTTATTCAGTGATATTGCAAGTGATTATATTTACAAATGTTTGTGTGCATATACATATATAACCTATATATGTATGTGTATATATGTGTATGTGTGTGTACATATATAAGGATGTATAACTTTCAGAAAATTCTTTAAAAGATCTAAATTATAAACAGAATATACACTGATGTGGCTAAGGGATGGCAGGACTTTAAAAAGTAAAATGAGGCCAAGTGGCAATGGCTCACACATGTAAATCCTAGCTACTCAGGAGGCTGAGATCAGAGGATTAGAGTTTAAAGCCTGCCCAGTCAGGAAATTCTGTGATATTCATACCTTCAGCAAGCTACCAAAATAGCCCGAAGTGGAACTGTGTCTCAAGTGGTAGAGCTAGCCTTGAGAGAAAAAAAAAAAACAACAGGATCACACCTGTAATCCTAGCTACTCAGGAGGCTGAGATGAGATCAAAGGATCATGGTTTGAAGCCAGATCAGGCAGGAAAGTCTGTGAGGCTCTTATCTCCAATTAATCACAGAAAAAGGGGCAAGTAGTGCTGTAGCTCAGGTGGTAGAATGCTAGCCTTGAGCAAAAGGAGCTTAGGGACAGTGCCCAGGCCCAGAATTGAAGGCCCTGGACTTGCACAAAAGAAAAGTAAAATGAGAGGTCTAGAAAGTGAAGATAATAGAAGTATTTGGATATGAAATTTACCAGTCACTAGCAATAAAAGTTCAAGAATATTTAAAAGATTAATTTAATAAGATCAAATGTTTGAATGTTAAGGATTGAATAAAGAACTGAGGAATTGTTATTCTGGTTAATAATCCATTGTAGGTCAGAAGATTTCTTGGTCATCCATGCTCATGATGACTTAACAGCTGTTCAAGGTACAACTCCATATACACATAGCAATCCTGGCACCCCAATCAACATGCCATGGCTTGGTAGTACCCAGACTGGCAGAGGAGCATCCGTGGTATGTAAAGTTAAAGATGCCTGGGTTTGTCTGCTATTGTACTTTTCCTATTAAGTTACTGGATAAAAGATGTTTGAAATCTGTGTATGTGTATGTGTGTACCAATCCTGGGCTTGAACTCAGGGCCTGAGTGCTGTCTGTTAAGCTTCTTTTCCCAAGGCTAATGCTCTGCCACTTAAGGCATAGTTCATTTCTGGCCTTTTGGTGGTAGTTGGAGATAACAGTCTCACGGATTTTCATGCCTATGCTGTTTTCCAACCACAATCCTTCGATCTTAGCCTCATGAGTAGCTAGGATTACAGGCGTGAACCACTGGTGCCTTACTTGAAAACTTATTTAATTTCTAAAGTTTTAGGAAGGTCCTACATTCTGGAATTGTATATTTTGATCATGAGCAATAACATCTTCATTTGAAAAGGAACAAAAACTGTTTTCAAGCCAGGCGCCTATGGAAAACCAAAAATAGAGCTATGGCTTAAAGTGGTAGAGTGCTAGCCTTGGGCACAAAAGCTCAGGGACAGCGCCCAGGCCCTGAGTTCAAGCCCCATGACTGACAAAAAATATTTTTAAAAAAATTCCCTAGTTAAGTTGGGTACCAATGGTGAGGACTCAAGGCCCTGATTTCAAGGCCTGCCACCAGGGCACAAAGAAAGAAAGGCATATCTAGAACAAAAGAATTTCTGAGCTTGATGCAACTAATCTTCATCAGGTTTTTTTTTCTTTCTGGAAATGGATAAAATATTGTCTTTTGAAAATTTATTTGAAATTTACTTGAAAATGTATTTGAAATATTCATCTCTGTCTTCTCCCTCTTCTCTGTCCTATCTCTCTCTGTCCTCTTTCCTTCCCTCTCTCCCTCCCTCTCCTCCTGTGTGTGACAGGGTCTGACTAAGTAGCCCAGTAGACTAGTGATCCTCCTCCATGAACCTCCCAGGTGCTAGGGGTATAGGCATTTCCGTCATGCCTGGCTAAACATATTATTGTCCCATCGTTTTATTGATTGATGACTAGTAGTATAACAAGTAGACTTGTTTGGAAGCAATATACTTGCTATTGCTTAAGATAACTGCATGTGCATGTATCTTTCAGTCTTTCTATCACTAATCAGTTCTACTGGTCTGACCTCTCCTCCCCACACCTGCTCTTTCTTCTCTACAATTTCACGCTCTTCACAAAGTTAGATTCCCAGAATAGCTAAAAGGCTTACCTTGAGATTTGTACTTAAATTTAAGATAACATAGCTAGTTCTGCACTGCTATATAAACAAAACATTCTATAAGTCACAACTTTTCCCTTAATTTAGTATATTTCTTTACTTTTATTGATTGGTTCATCAAATCTTTCAGTAAATGAATTAAGAATAAACAGTCATACAGTATTAAAATTGCATTTAATTTTTTTTTTTGGTCGATTGTGGGGCTTGAACTCTGGGCCTGGGCCCTGTCCTTCAGCTCTTCAGCTCAAGGCTAGTGCTCTACCACTTGAGCCACAGCACCACTTCCATCTTTTTCTGTTTCTGTGGTCCTGAGGAATCGAACCTAGGGCCTCATGCATGTGAGGCAAGCACTTTACCACTTAGCCACCTTCCCAGTCCTAAGAATTGTATTTAATTTCTGTCTAACCTAATGCCATTTATGATTCCAGTAAGTTTAATGGGATTAGAAAATAAATGGTAAGAAAGGAGTTAAGACTACATTCTTAAGGAGAATTAGTTTTTACATCCTAGTCAGTGAGGCAGGAAATGGATACCAATTTAACTAGGAGAGCTGCACTATTCAATTTCTATTGACATACTTAGTGTGTGTAGTACTTACATAAGTTTCCTATCATAACTTCGTTGTTTCTGTGTAGTGCTGGAGCTTCAGCCTAAGGTATTGTATATGCTAGGCAAGTTCTCCAGTGTTGAACTATGCATATACCTCCACCCTACATTTTAAATATTTAATCCTATTTTCTGTGACTCTAAAATAATTTTTCTTTTCACCAGATGATTAAGAAACCCATTAATAATGTCAGAAGAATGACTTCTCACCCAACTCTTCCTTACTGTAAGTTAATAACAATTAGCAATGATTTTTTTTCTCATTTTTAATATCTACTCTTAGTGATTTTTAATATAAGGGACTTATGGTAAATTTTTCATTTTTATTAGAAGACAGCAATTTTTCTACATTTTTCATAAAGAATGTTACTAAATAAAATCTTAATTTCACAATTAGATTTTTAAAAGAAAGAAAAAATCCTGCTTGAATTAATAGAGAAGACCAACTTAATGCAATAAAGTTTTAGTATTTTAACTACATATTTTTTACTTTTATTTGGACATGTGCTGTACCACTGAGTCACATCACTAGGTTCACAGAGTTCCTACTGAACATACGTAAATAACTATATTACCATGCAAATTAAAGTAAAAATGCTCATTAAGAACTGTCCAAATTCTGGACTGGTCAGATGACAAGAAAAATTATTTTTTGCTAGGTGCTGTTGGCTCCCTGTAATTCTAGTTATTCAGGAGGCTGAGATCTGAGCATCACAGTTGAAGCCAGACTGGGCAGGAAAGTCTGTAAAACTCTTATTTCCAAATTAACTACCAAAAGAGAAGTGGAGCTGTGGCTCAAGTAGTAGAGCACTAGCCTTAAGCACAAAAGCTCCAGGGACAGTACCCAGGGCCTGAGTTCAAACTCCGGGAATGGCACACACCCAAATAATAATTATTTTTATCTTTACTCACCAATTACCAAATTGTTTTATGTTGTAAATAGCTTGAGAGAAATGAAAGGTTGCCTTAAATCCTGAAAACAAGTCATTAAAGAGTACAAACAGTTTCAAACAAAACATATAAATTAAAATTCTTTAGTGAATCTATTTTAATTCTCATTCTGTTTGATCTTGGTTAGAATTCTAGTCATTCTCTCCTACTCCAGTAGTAAGAAGTTTTCAGAAGCCTGTGCTTTTCAGTCTATTCCATAAATTTCTTTGCCAATAGGATACCTTTAAAGCTTTCAGAAAAGCATCAGAGTAAAATCACTCTGTTGATAGCAAAAGACCCAACATGGCTGTGGTTAAAGATGAGAATTCATTGTAATAGTTACAGTTATCATTGTAATAGTTACTATGATGACTCACTGTCATAGTTACAATTACAATGTGGATAGTTACTCTGGCAACTCATTGTAATAGTTATTAGTACTTGTCACTGAGGTTTGAATGTTCTACAATGTACAACAATGTAATATAGCTAAAAGTAT